TTTGATTTGAAGGATATTCAGTTATCCTTTTCCGATCTCTAGGATCACTAGGTAAATTCTCCAAATCAACTTCAGAATCTGTTTTTTGGAGAAGGCAAATCATCTTCAGAGTTTTCAGATGTGGATGCAGATTTTCTTTTAGGCTTGAAATATTTTTCCATTCTGTAATTTTTTTTTTAAATTAGTACAATACTATAGTTTCTACGTTCTCATGATTTCTTATTACTTAATTTACATAAAGCAAAATTTTCAAATACCTTTTAGCTTCGGAGTTGAACTTCTAGTCATATTCTTTTTGCTTGTCTGTGTTTGATTTGTAAAAGTTAGAAAAAAGAAGACGAAAAGAAATGTGGATGTGGTGGTGTAACTAGGTTAAAGTTGAAAATTTCCCTTATTAATTTTCTGTAACTTTTTATTTGGCTTTTTAAAACTGAACTTATATTTCTTTTTATATTGTGCTACATTAGATTTAGGGTTATATAATAATGGTGTTCTACATTTTTTACTTCTGCTACGATGATTCTATATATGAACATAATTATATCTAATTAACTATATATAATTTTTTCTTTTTATAAAGTAGTAGGGGGCACGTGCTCCCGTAGTGGACCAAATACATCCGCCCCTGGTTAATATGTCATGGGAATTTTTACAACATTGTCATTCTCTTTGAAGAGATCCATGCAAAGAGTAGTCGGTTTAGTCTCGTTCTTCATACAAGTCCATGTCGTGTAACAAACATGCTACCATAGAATAGTTCTTAAATATCGAAAGCATTTGGGTCCTTTGTTGAGTTTTTATCTTGCGAGTATCCCTCGTATGAGTAACTAGCTTGCCCTCATTGTTGCTGAGAATGATATAGAAATATTTCAGTTAGACACAGTGGCGGATCTAGAACTACAAAATATCGGGGGTACTTTAATAACTAACTCAAATAGATAAAAAAAAATTCATAACTAAAATATACTTTACAAATTTATCCTACAAAATTCCATATTCTGAAACCTTTTCACTACTACCTAATTTGTTACTTTCTCAAGAAATTATTTTTCAACAAAACAAACAACACAATCATTTAAAAACTGATCACTTATCAGGTTCCGCAAGCTAGTCTTCACAATCTTCATCGCTGAAAAACATCTTTCAACAGTAAGGTGGCAACATGTAAAGTCAAAACAAGCTTCAAAGAGAATGAGAAAGATGTTTCTTTGTCTTCACCATCATACATGCAAGATCTACAAGATCCTTCAAATTTGAAAATTTTCATCTTCCCGAATATTATCAATATAGAGACCTAGTTGATACTCAAGAGTAATCCGCTCGATAGGACCAAAATCTTCAGGATAAAACTCAGACAATCTCATAACTTTTAACTGATCAAACTCCTGAACTCAATTAGTGGGACTAAAGGAAGCAATGCAGCCAAGTAATTCTGTGTTTACCTCATCAAAACGATCATTAAACTCTTGAATCTGCATATCCAATATAGTGTAAAAACACTCAACATTGTAATGGTGCAAGTTGGTTATGTTGCTCCTTTTCCTTGAACTCTTTGAATCAAATTCATCATCCATAACCATGAACTCAATCTTGTATTTCTCACATAACGAAGAAACTTTACTGATCAAAGATTCCCATTCATCATCTCCGATCTTGTACAATTGTTTTTGGTAGGCTTCACAAGTGATATAGCATTAAGAATGTCTTGATCTTTTCATTGGAGAGCCTTTGACAAGCTATTTGTGATCCCAAGAAGAAGCAACATTAACTGTAAGTAGAACACAAAATCAAAGGTGTGGAAGTACTTGAGAAGACCATTAGCTTGGCGTCTTTTGATACCATCACTTCCATCGATTTCAACATACTCAAGCACTTAAATGATAGAAGCGAACAAATCAACCAACCACAGTAATGTCTTATAATGAGAACCCCAACGAGTTTTACCAGGTCTTTGAAAAGAAACCTCTTGGTCCAGTCCCTTTCCAGTCTTAATTTCTCCTTTCTTAGTTCTTTCCTCAACTTTTCTCCGGGAGTCTTCTCGCACCATATCTTTCTTCTTACAAGAAGCTCCAACCACATTTAACAAGAAGGCAATCTTATCAAAGAAATCTCCTACTTAAAAATGCTTCTGAGCAACTGCAACGACAACTAACTGAAGTTGATGAGCAAAACAATGAACTTAATAGGCAGAACTGCACTCTCTTAGAATTAGAGCTCACAGCCCATTGAATTCGCCCTTCATATTACTCACTCCATCGTAACCTTGCCCTCTTAACTTCTTCATACTCAATCCATGTTTAGCAAACAATGAATCAACAACAGTCTTTAGAGATAAAGAAGATGTTTCTTTCACATGAGCCAGACCAAGAAACCTTTCTTTAACTATCTCATGTGTATTAACAAAGCGAAAAACCATTGCCATTTGCTCTTTATCAGAAACATCTGCATATTCATCCACCAACAAACAACATACATCATGGCCAACTTCTTTGATGATAAGTTCAATAACTTCTTCCGCAAAGCAATGAACTACATCTGTCTGAATTTTATGGGACACCATCTGGTTGTTTTTGGGGGAATTCTCTAACAAAACTTTACTTACAACCTCATTTTGCTCTGTAGTATATTTCACAAGCTCCAAAAAGTTTCTCTTGTTAACTGAATCCACCGATTCATCATGACCTCGAAACGGGAATCCTTATCTTAACAAAAACCTACAAGCATCAATTCAAGCATTCAATCTAATCATGTATTCATTTTTTGATCGCGTCATTCTGCTTATAAAAAACATGAACAATTGATTGTCCCGGTTTCATCAGATTATCAGCTCTTTTCAATGCACTATTGTAAAAACTATTTACTCCTCCTACATGATCTCGTCATCTCTCTGTCTTGTTCCAGTCATCAAAGCCCTTGATCACAAATGCATCAGTTCCACATTTTTTTTCAGTGTAATCTCTGAACAAGTAGCAGACCAAACAAAACGCTTTATCCTTTTTCACACTATATTCTAACCAATCGCCATAGAGATTAAACCAAGCGGGATTGAATCATCTCAGTTTATTTTGAAACAAGATTTTAGGAAATTCATGACCACGAGGTTGACAAAGACCTCTCATAAGATATTTGTGTATTACCTCGTCTCTTTGATTTGAAGGATATGCAGTTATCATTTTCCTATCTCCAAGATCACTAGGTAAATTCTCCAACGAATATGTTTTTTTGGAGAAGGCAAATCATCTTCAGAGTTTTCAGATGTGGATGCAAATTTTCTTTTAGCACAATACTATAGTTTCTTCGTTCTCATGATTTCTTATTACTTAATTTACATAAAGCAATATTTTCAAATACCTTTTAGCTTTGGTGTTGAACTTCTAGACGTATTATTTTTGCTTGCATGTGTTTGATTTGTAAAAGTTAGAAAAAGAAGATGATAAGAAACGTGGGTGTGGTAGTGTAACTAGGTTAAAATTGAAAATTTCCATTATTAATTTTCTGTAACTTTTTATTGGGCTTTTAAAACTAAACTTAATCTTTTTTTATATTGGACTACATTAGATTTAGGATTATATAATAATGGTGTTCTACATTTTTTACTTCTCCTACGATGATTCTATATATGAACATAATTATATCTAATTAACTATATAAATATTTTTTTTTATAAAGTAGTCGAGGGCACATGTCCCCGTAGTGGTCCAAATACATCCGCCCCTGGTTAGACACATGTAAAGCTTTGGTCATCTTCACAAGAATTGTTGTGAGAATATGATTCTAAATGTTTGAAAAGTTCACAAAAAATTGTCTTGCCTTTGGCTCCATCTGAAGTATTGTTCTGGAGAGTGCCTAAATTGCCTTGAAAATTCCAGAGGAAGGACATAAATCGTAGAAGTGGAGAAGTTTTTTAGGAATGGTGAGTTTCAATAAGTGAGGCACACCATGGTGTGATATATATACACGTTTTTGAAACCTCTAAAAGTTTTAGAGCACCTCCATTGAGGGTTTATGGGGGGAGTTCACATGGAAATAAAAAAAAAATAGAATAAAAAATAAAAACCTATGTACCCCTCTCTCCTAAAGTTCTCTCGGGTGAACCCCTCTCTCCTAAGGTTCACCACGTGGCGGCCCGGAAATGGTTTAGAATTTATTTTTTTTTTTAAAAAAGAAAATCAAAAAGAAAACAGAAAAATTTTAATAATAAAAAATTGATTCAATGAACCCCAAGAGGGGGTTCATTGATGTGGATGCTCTAAAGAGTAGTCTTTTTCAGATTTGTCTTAAAGCTATGGAAATTTCTTTTTTTTTTTTTAATAACTCTGGTATCTGGGTAGCCAGATTCCCAGGGGGTCCAGCGCCCCAACGGAAGGGATGTTAAATCCGTTGTGGCCAAGGCTCGAACCCGGGTGGCAGGAAGTACAGCTGTACCTCCTTTACCACCAAGCTACAAACGCTTGGTTGCTGTGGAAAATTTTAATACTAAAAACTACATTTTGGATACTACAACTGGATAAAGGATATCTAATGGTGGACTAGACGATTCCATGATATCAAGTTTCAATGGACTCATAGGAGTGCAAACAAAGTGGCAGACCTTTTGGCAAAGAAGATTGCAGATGGTGTAACATTTTAGTTTTTTTAGTTCGTGCCTTTGTATTTAACTGATTCATTATATATGGAACACACATTTGCACAATGAAGTAATAAGAATATATAGTCGTTATATAAAAAAAAGATACCAATTCTAATAAACTTTTGTTGTGAAACAAAAAAGAAAGTGATCTCTCATGTGTGTGATGGTAATTCACACAGCCTTGGTAGCAATAAACATGGCAGTTTCTCCGAACGTTGTGTTGCTTACACTATTATTATAAGACGTCACGTTGTTCAAACTCTTTAAAAAACGGCAGGCAGTCAAAAGAAGAAAATCGCCGGAGCTTTTTATCTGCGCTCCTCCAGCAGTACTAGAAAGAAAGAGGCCACTCCAGCTTTTTTCTTCACATATGGCAGCAGCAGTCTCGTTTCTGCGATACTCAGTTCCTTCGCGGGTCTTCTCGTATCCGACCCGTCTCATCCGGGTCACACCCACTTTTGCACGCTTCTCTTCCTCCACCGCGTCTACTCCTTCTCTCTCCTCCGACCTTTCCCTCCCCGAGAAATGGGAATCGTATCGGAAGAAGAAGGTCGTCATCCGAATTGGGTACGTGGGCACCGATTATAGAGGTCTGCAGATTCAAAGAGACGACCCTTCTCTCAAAAGTAATATAAAGTCTCAACCTTTTATGTCTTGTATAGTTCCGACAAAAACATAAATATGTCTGATTAAGAGAACTTGTAATGTAGCTATTGAAGGGGAACTTGAGGTTGCTATATACAAGGCTGGTGGGATTCTAGAGAGTAACTATGGTGATCTTCACAAGATTGGTTGGGCTAGAAGTAGCCGAACTGATAAAGGAGTAAGCTTTTTTTTTTTTTTTTTTTTTTTTATCTCTGTCCTG